AATATTAAATATATTATAATTAACTATTAAATTAATATACATAATTAATAGTTTATTAAGATTTAAAATAATTAACTAATTAACTAATAATATAATAATTTAAAAAGATTTATTATATTTTTTAAGTTTAATATAAAATTTATTTTAGTTAACTTATATAAAATTAATTTGTTTAAGCAAAATAAAAGATGATATATAATAATAAAAATAGTTCAAATTAAAAATGGCACCTCAATTAGTTGCAATAGGTGACAAATAAGCATCACAATGTTGTAACAAATTGTAATATTATTAAAATTTAAGTTGTAACAGGTGACAAATAAGTGTCACAATATTGCAATGCTATCTTTAGTTTAAATTAACTAAAAATTAGATAATTAAATTTACGATTTTAATACTATTTATAGTTGGTTAGTCTGTTTTTGATTTTTTAAATTATTACTGATTGATATTGATCAGATAAAGCTATTCAACATTAATTTAAAATTTAAATTTAATCATAAATCAGCCTAAAATAACATCAAATACATAACATAAATTAATATAAAGGTTATTAAATTTAATTTTAAAAAATACTTCTTAAAAATAATTATTAGTAATATTTTATTTTTTTCTATTTAGTTAATTTTAAACTAAAATTAAAGATCAATAATTAAAATCAAAACTTAATTATAATAATTTATATTAGTATTAAAATTATTATAATATTAATCTAACTTTTAATATGATTTATTTTAAACTAAGTTAATTACATAAAGTTATTTAAGATTTTTTTAATATGATTATTTTATAAAATTTGATCAGGAATTTAATAAAATTTAAAAGATTTTTAAATGTTATATTTTTATCTTTGAATTTAGATTTTTAGCATTATAATATATAAAAATTTAAAATCTATTAGGTTATATATATAAAAAAAATTCTTTTTATCGTTATTTAAATAAATGTTAATTTCTATAAAATTTTTTATTGTAAATTGAGAATCATGTAAACTTTTGATTTTATAAAGCAAGATGAAAAGAGTATTATGACTTTTATAATGAAATTGATTTATAAATATTAATGATTAGATTTGAAGATTTTACAATGTAAATCATGTTTTTACAAGCTCTATTTATTTTTTATTGTTTTACAACAAACCTTTGTTGGTTTATAATATTTATTATCTTCTTTTTTGTAGAATTAAGCGATTACATTATCTACTATGGAAAAAATTTGATTTGGTCAAACTGAACTAAAGAAAACGCGAAATAATTCTTCAATCACAAATTTATGTTGTAACAAAATATTTAAAGAAATCGAACAAGTTCAAACTGGTTTATAGCTTTTCAATCTATATAATATCTATAAAATTTTCCAAAATAAATATATTAGAAATATCAGAATCTCTGTATTACTTTTGAATTTGTTATTTTGTTAGAATGAACTTCATATGTTTCCAATCATATCTGCGGATTAGTTCAAATAGGTTTCGCTTCATGAACTATAACGATAAGCAACAATTTTATTATTATAAAAAGCCGTATATCGAAATGGGTGGAGATAAGTACGGAAGACTTGGAGGAGCACTCAAGATGGTGTTTGTGATCTAACATGTTTATATCCAAATTAGAAATGAAAAAAAAAAGAGGTACCTTTTTATGCTATGGATACAATATTAAGACGAGCGGAAAGAAAATTGAGGTTTTTCATAATATTATTACGTGATACTGTTATTTTCTTTTAATAACGTAATTATGGCATCACATAATTACTTATTCAATAAATGTTAAAAAAATGTGCCGTCAAAAAGAAAATATTGACAGCTCATTATATTATCTTTTTAATTTTGACAACAGCCAAATTAAGAGACTAATTAACACTTAGAAGAAATAAGAAAAGAATGACATAAGATTAAACTATAGAATTTCATTCAATTCGTACATAAAACCCTCTCTTACTTCCTTGACAACTTGAAAATCATTCTTTACATTATTATTATTTTACTTTGCCTCTTCAATATCATATTCTTCAGATCTCATGGCCACTCCCAGAGTACCAATTGTTAAAGGTCAATATCCAATTCCTTATGAAGATCCGAAGAAGATTCGTTTCACAATTCCAGGTCCTCAAAGTGAAACTTCCTCTTTTAGTGAACATCATACTACTTCTAGCGAAGATGAGGATTATGATGAAAACGAATACTTTGTTGAAAAAATTATTTCTCATAGGAATAAACCAGATGTGATTATTAAAATAGTCTATTAATAATATAACGAGTCAAGAATAATATTTCTTATTTTTGTTAATATTAGGGGGGGGTATCAATATTACTTGAAGTGGAAGGACTATCCGGATTCTGAAAATTCATGGGAAGATGAAAAGAATGTGCAAGTATAAGAAGTACTTAAAGGCATTTCCGTTATTAAGAGGTTTATGTTTTTATCCCTTTCATTTTTCTTACTTTTAGTTATGCGACGGAACTTTTGAAAACATACTGGCGTAAAAGAGGCGGTAAACCAATTGCAAATTCTTCATCGTCTACTAAATATAAAGACTGCACGTCATCCTTTCCTTCTAAACCTTCTGTTAATAAGAAATCAAATGGACAAGTTAAAAGTAGCTCATTATCCGTCAAGAAACCTTCATTATCATATCGCAAGACCTCTCATAAATCTCACACGAATGGAATCACTAATATTGCTTCACCCGAATCAGCTTCGAAATCTCATAATCATTCTCTTGTCAAATACAGAAAAGAAAACGCGCAGAAATTCAATTATAGTAGAAGAAATGATTTAAATTTCGAGAAAGAGACCTCGTCTAAATTATCTCGACTTGGAGAGTTCAACAAATATAATCCTTCTTCCACGATCGAGGTTAATAAAAGTGAGAATCACGTTTCTTCTAAGATCAAGAGCAGAATTACACCCAATCTTGACGATGAGGAAAGTGATGAGTCATTTAGCGATGCAACATATCAAGATACCATGGAAATAGACGAAGTGAACGAAGATGAACCATTTGTGGCACAGCAAAACGAGCAAGATTCTAACGAAAAACCGAGAATCGAGTTTCCAAAGGCTAAACTCGGGCCAAGAAAACCAAAAAGTTATAGTCTTATTAATGAAAAAGAAAATAGTAATACGAAAAGTCTTGATGAAAATTGGGATCCTTATATTGAAGAAGTTGTTGCTATTGAACCACATGATCAAAATCCCAATGTGCTTTGGATTTATATTTCTTGGTAAGTAAATTAAAATGAAACCAAAGCAAAATTAAGATGATATAATTAATTTTTTTTTTCTAGGCGAAGTGGATACATATCGGTTCATCTTAATACGGAAGTTAATAAATTATGTCCATTGAGTGTAAGTATAATCGTTTCAGGTATCTACTTCCTTTTTTTGTTTTTTGTTTTTTACATTCTAACGTATCATGTCCATTACATTTTTAGATCATAAACTTTTATGAAAAGTGCATTATAAAAAGAGATGATTGAGCTTTTTGTTGTGAGGAAAAATATTTATATATTATTTTTTATGAAATTAAAGAAGATAAAATATTTGCTTCATTTTGTATTTTATTAAGTGAATATGTTTGAAGATTTTTTGTTTATTTTCTTTGGCAATTTCTTGTACAACGATCTATAAAATCATGCATATATTGATGAGATAAACCTGGTTTTTTTTTTTTGTTGTTTTTGAAATGTTAAAAAGCCATTTTAAAAAAATCCCTTATCTTACGAAACGTTTCTATTCAACGACACGAAAAGAAGTACTTACACCACTTGCTCAACAATTAAAGAATATAATATCTGTACATATTTATCATTTCATTAATAAAAATAATATATTTTTTTTAGCTTCTATTAATATCTAAGAATAAACAAAGTTTAAGAAAAATTATCAACTTATTACTATTAATCCAATCTATCTTTAAATATTATCAATTCTATTGTAGGAAAAAGGACCCATATCAATTGCTACATATATGAAACAAGTATTAACAAATCCAAACAGTGGATATTATATGAAAGGTGATGTATTTGGTGTAAAAGGTGATTTTATTACTTCGCCCGAAGTTAGTCAAATGTTTGGTGAGGTAAATCAATTAATTAATAAATTTTTTTAAACTAGATTTAAAAATTAAAATATTTTAGATTTTAATTTATTAATTTATTTATTTCATTATGTTGATGTAGTTGATTGGTTTATGGATGATTTCACAATGGGAAATTCAAGGAAAATCACAAAAATCACAAATAATTGAATTAGGACCAGGGAGAGGGACATTAATGGATGATATGCTTCGTGTAAGAAAGTGAATGGTTTCGATAAAACTGTGAATTAGTTAATTTTTTTTCTTTTCTATTAATACATTATTAATACACATAATTAAAAAGATTTTTTTTTTTTTTTTGAAAAAACAAACAAAAAAATGATATAGGCAATGTCAAATTTTCCAAATTTTTATAATACAATAAATGGAGTACATTTAATTGAAATTAGCCCTGAATTAAGAAAATTACAATTAAAAAAACTCTGCGAAAATCAGATTGAGGGTGTGCCAGAAATGGTTAACCGTGATAATGATGGAATGAAATTTTATTGGCATAATAAAATTGAGGATATTCCGGGTAAGAACATGATCATTTTTACTTGATGGGATCATGATGGAAAAAAAAGTAAAGTACTTATAATAGGAACGTGATTTAGCTGAATGTTCCTTTATTGTTGCTCATGAATTTTTTGATGCTTTGCCTATTCATAGATTCGAGGTAATGTAATAATAAAAAATGAATTTTTTTTAAAAAAAACTTTTTAAAACAAATTTATTTTTTTAAATTAGCTTACAGATAAGGGATGGAGAGAATATATGGTCGATATAGATACTTCGGTAGACAGGTTTGAATTTTTAATATTTAAACTTGCCACTTTACACATGTAAACTTACGTTTCTCAATTAATATTTCATAGTTCTTATCATTTTCGTTTAATCCTCTCACCACAGCCTACAAAAGAATCTATAACATTAACATCATCATCACAATACGCGAAATTTAATATTGGAGATCGTATAGAGGTATCACCAGATTCTTGTAATATGACACAAAAAATTTCAAATCAAATTTCAAAATTTGGTGGTGCTGCTTTAATCATTGATTATGGTCAAGATTATGTGCAAAGTGATACATTAAGAGTAGGTAACATTTTATTAATAATATCTGATGTTTATTTAAAGTTAATTTATTTATTTATTTATTTCCTTTCTTTGGCGTGAATGTAGGCTATTAAAGATCATAAATTTGTTCATTCATTAAGTTTACCGGGATATGCTGATTTAAGCGTTGATGTAAATTTTTTTTACTTAAAGGAATCAATTCAAGGACAAGGTAATCCATCATGAACATTTACCGTAATTTAATCCTATCTGACTGATAATTCAATATTACCAATTTTCAGTTAATACATTTGGTCCAGTAACACAATCAAAATTCTTACATTCGATGGGAATAACAACTAGATTATCAATGCTACTTAATCAAACGACTTCAATTGAACAACACAAAGCGTTATTCAATTCTTATAAGAGATTGGTAGATCCTTTAGCCATGGGAAGAATTTACAAAGTTTTAGCTATTAATCCTAAAGAATATAATCAACTTCCATATGGATTTGAATCATTAAAAAAATAAAAATAAAAAAAAAAATTAAGTCGATTAACTTTTCTAATTTTAATTTTCCAACTTAAATTTCTTATAAAAGTATGTACAATTATTTCAAAAATCTTAATTATTCTCCACCTTAAAGTATTTTAGAACTAATAAATATTATTAAAACTATATACATATTAAATTGCTAATTATTTACTTTATTTTTAAGCATAGTACATAATTTGCATATAATTAAAATCTTCTCTCCTTAATATAAAAAAAATAAAATAAAATAAGAGATTATAACTCTTATTTTCTAAGGTGAGAGTTGATATTAGGGATTACAGGGGGAAAAAAAAAATATTAAAAAGCTATAATAAATAACATCTTGAAAAGTTTTGTGAATTAATATAAAAAAAAATTTTTTTTTTTTTCTTTCGTCTAATTACGTAAATAAATTAAAGATAAATTTTAAACGTATCTCAACTTACCGTCGGTTAATAATATATGAAATGTGCTTGAATCATTTAGCAAGACAAGTATTTGATAATATGTTTGCCACTGAATAATCATAATCTAACCTGATTAACAATTTTAGAGCCCTTCCTTCTGCTCGACGAAGAAACATCGAGGGTGCATCACTATCGTGAGTTGCCATTGGAGCAAAGGCATGATGTCCTGCATGAAGTGGTACATAAGTTTGACCGCCGTTATTATATGATACCGTATGTTGATTTCCAAAGAGACTGGATTGAGTTGTCGGGTAAGAAAAACCTTGCATAGATGATGGTTGAGTAGATGTAACAGAATTATTGTTTGTCCGAAAAGTTACTCCTAAAGGGACTCCATTAAAAAAATTGGATGAACCTCCTGCAAATCCAGTTATTGTATGTGGACCATATCCTTGTGTCTGATTAATAAATGTGGTGCCAAAACCAAAACCAGGTTGATTACCACTAAAATGTCCGTTCCCACTATTGTTTGCCTGATTTCCGTTAAATGTTGTTCCAAATTGTGATATATTTCCGAAATGATTATTCGATCCACCTACGAATGGTCCATTACCTGTTGAATGATTACCACCATCACCGAACGGTGAAGTAAGCGAAGGGCCATTTCCAGTTAATTGATTGGAGCCAAATGGAGTTCCGTTACCTGTTGTTTGATTTCCACCACCTATGAATGGGTGTCCAAGCGAAGGCCCATTCACGGTCGGCCCGTTACCTGTTGCTTGATTTCCCCCGAATGGAGGTGGCGGTCCGGGTGCTTGTCCATTCACACTTGTTGTATTCCCGAATTGCTGTCCATCTACCGCGGGTTGATTTCCGTTGAAATTTGGACCATTTCCATTTGGATTCCTTCCGAATGGTTGTACATTTCCATCCGCTTGATTAGCACCAAATCCAATTGGCGTTTGAGATGCACCAAAATTATTTGCTTGACCTCCACCTAATTGATTTGAGCTAAAATTGCTTGCTTGAACTCCACCTAATTGATTTGCACCAAAATTAATTCCTTGACCTCCACCGGCTTGGCTTACACTATTGGAATTAAATCCGTTAACGTTATTACCAAATAATCTCGTGACACCATTTACATCCGCTGCAACATTATTTAAGTTGGATTGCTGATTATTATTGTTGTTATTTTGATTGAATACACTGCCAAGTACGGGCCATGATGAACCGGCGGATGTATTATTATTCGCGTTTATTATATGTTGAAAAGTCATCATGTTTGGTTGTACCATTCTACTTATACCATTAAATCCGTTATTATTGAAAGAATTATTCAAGAAACTATGATTATGGGTTTGATACGGGGACATTAATGCGCCATATCCTCTCCTTGGTTTACAATTATAAAATTCACATCTCCATGAGAATTCTGGAATTTCTGATTTAATATGCCTTTCTATGGCATCCCCAAAGTGTTGTAATATAACAAATCCAACCATATTAAATGGTTTCATAATATCTGCTATTATTTCACTTTGTCCTTGTGCTGGATACCAATCAAATTCTTCAATAGTTCCGAAATCAGTTATAGCCATATGAATTTCAGTTTGAAGTTGATCTATGGCCAAATGAATCACTTCTTTAAGGGCTGCTACAAATGCATCAACTTTGGAAGCTACTGCCAATTCCCCTGAAGTAACAGCAATATCTTTAACTGGAATTTGAAAATAATCTATTTCTTGATCAAGTTCTTCACGGGTTACTGCTACGAGATTTTTATCTGCTCGGTCGCTCCATAAAATCTTACCATTTCGGTAATATTCAAGAATATATCGAAATGCATATCCATTACGATCAATAAAAAATTCATTACCATTCTTTGGATGTAGCATTTCTCTATTTCGTTCTTGAAACATCGTCCCAAGCAAAGTATCAGGGAATGCAGTCAACGTTGAGGGATAGGTCTCATACTGCGTAATTTAATTATTGATTTCGTTAATTCTTTTTTTTTTTTTTTTTTTTTTAGTTCAAATTGATCCAAATACAATAAATCTTTTATCAAACCTTTATTCCCCCCACATTGAGGATAATAGTTCCCTCACGAGTAAACATAACTCCGTTATCCCTATCAAGACTTATTTGTGATGTCATATATATATAAATTTTTTTTTAATTTGTGTTAAAATTTAGACAATATGAAACTAGAACGAATAATACAATGATGAAAAAATTGATTAGTTTATTTATTTATTTCTTTAATATTAAAAAGAGCATAGATGTTTATTTTTAAATAATAAAATCCCATTTCGTAAATGAAACGAACAAAAGAGAATCCTATTTTGGCCGAATATTTATCAAAGGGAATTTAATAATATTATAGTATATATATATTGGCATAGTAATAATAATAATAATAATAAAAATAATAAAATATATATATCCAAAAAAAAAAATTACCTTGAAAATTCAAGGTTCAAAAAAAAAAAAAAAAAAAAAAATGATTACAAAATTTTTTTTTTTTTCTTTTTGTAAAATGAGGTGGGGGTGAATATTATTTTTATATTTTTTATCCACAACGAATAACATTTTGGCGGAAAAAAAAAAAAAATGTCATTCCTTAAATATACGGATAAAAACTGCATAGATCATCAGGTAACAAATCCAGGTTACTGTAATCTGGGCTAATCCGCCATATTTATTCCAAATTCATCCATTTATTATCTCCATATCAAAATTTGAACATAATTCACAGCGCTTATCGACGTTCCCGAATTTTGGCACCTTTCGTAATATCATGTGAAATTGGTAAAACGTGGATTTCTCGAAATTCATACCGAATGATGACAATTTTTTTCACAGATAATCGTGATAATCGCTAAATTTATATATATTTATTTAAATGGTTGGTTTGTCTATAAATTTTTGATTATTCTGATATTATTGATATGACTACCCCAACTACTACAAATAATTCTGGTACGTGATAAAGATGATAAAATTTCTCGTCAAACTTTCTTTTCTGATAAGGTTAATTACTATCAAGACGTTCAAGTAAATTTACGCGCACTGGTTGATATGTTACTCGGATATTTAAAAGACATTGATAATACTCCAACGTTACAAAGTTCCGAAATTGTTGATGTTGAAGCTATTGTAAATGATCTTGGTATGTCTCATTTTATGCGATGAAAATAATAATAATAAAAAAAACAAATGGTTATTATTCTCTAACCATTTTATACATAGGTAAATTAGGCATAATACTTGCAGATAATGCGACAAAGGTAAAAAAAACTTTGTTTTGCATAATTAATATATTTATTTTAAAATATTTATATTGTGAATAAAAGGTGACCATTTCGTGTAAACCTCCATGTACACCGATATCGGCCGTACCAACGATCAAAACCATGGGAGATACATTATTTCGTATATGTGGATTTGTTGAATCGATACCGATATCAGCGGGAAAAACGTTAATTCAAAAAATAAAGTCAATTACAAGGGAAATCCTTTTTGATTCAGCAGCACTGGCGAATTCATTTTTAGATGAGCCAGTAGATCCAAACCCAGATACAATATCAAAGGGATACCTTATTTCGACTGGAATTATATGGGAAGCATGTGATCGATTTGACAATTTACCAAAAAATAATAAACAAGCTGTTACGATTAAATGGAAAGAGATGCTGGAATTATTAAAAGATGTCAACTTGGAAGTTAAAAAGTTGATAGAAAACGATGAAAATCAAGGTGTTGACGATGATGGTTGGGAAGAAATATTTGGAGAGTCCAATAATTCAACGTTGACAGCAAAAGAAAAGGAAATTGTTGAATTATCTTTAAAATTATTGAATTTGGTGAAAATACTTTTCACCAAAGTCTTAAAAAGGTGTATAGAACCTCTTGATATCTCATCAAGAAAGAATGATCTATCAAAGATCAATCAGACACTTGATCAATATATGGATTTGGGCAAATTGGTTGCTGATGCTGCGGATGAATTGGGAACAAGTTTATATCCCCCTCAACATTCAACGGCTATAGAAACAAATGTTAATCATGTATCTTTACGATCTCAGGATTTAATTAAGGTGATTTTGCCTTTTGCATCCGAAGAGGAAGTCAAGTGGTTTAATACCTGTGATGCACAATTTACAAAGATTTTACAATCTATTCTGGAAAAGAATAAAAATATGGTCGGACTTGATTAAACAGCAAAAGATTTAAATGAATTGAAATTACGAATTTCAATAGCCATTTTAATTAATTTAGTATAATTTATTGTAAATAAATTTATCCGATTTCCTGACGAAAGAAGTTCGTTTACCTTTTAATTCTATTAACACTTATAATTTCAGTATTATTTTCTTTGTCTATGATGATGCAGCGATATATGTATGTTTCGATTGAAGGTTTCTTAATTTGGAAGAAGAGTTCAATGGACATTAATTTCAATTAAAAAAAATCCAAAATCATCGAAATATATATAATTAAATCAGTATCATTTTTTGAATTGCTGAAAAAAATATCGTTTGATAATGAGTAATCATAATCATTCCAAGTTGAAATTTTGATTTTTAATAATTGTTTCAGTATGACGTTCTCTCTCGAAATTATGCTTAACAAAATTTTGTTCTATATATTTCATACAAAGGATAGGTTTTTAAAATATAAAAATGATTTTTTGAAATAATCTTAATAGCAATCATAAATGTTTAAAGAAGTTAATATTACAAAAAAATATTAATTTGAAAATCAACCAAATCAAGGAATCAAGCGAAGAAGAGGTTTCAATATGTTTATTTTTAGGTTCATAAGCAAATTTTTTATAAAATCAATTATCGCGTTCAAAGATGGCTTAAAGGAAAATAAATTTCAAGGTTATAATAGAACCAGAGTTTGAGATGGAATTTTTATTATTTTGTTTAAATAAAACAAATATATTTAATTTACTAGGGAACGGGGACCGTTATTAAGTCCGGAACGATCTTAACTAAAAAAAAATATTGAGCGGGCGGACACTTTGCGTAGACATATATAAGGCCTAATTATTGGCTGATGAAATTGTGTGACCTGATCAACAACCCGAATATCATTTTGATCGCTTTTTTTTAACGTCTGATGTCTAATAAAAATTTTAATACACTTTAAAAAATTTAAGGAACATGCAATCTAATGAGAAAATTTCAACTAAACGTGTTAGCTCTTCCAGTTCTCATAGTTTTGGACCTCAAAAGAGGAAAAAAAAAAATAACATTACGCGTTCAACTCCGCGTTTAATTTTGCCTAACTCTCAGCAAGAAGTTTTTCAAGCTCCTCTTCAATTGCAACAAAATATTCATCAAGTCCAACTTCAACGTCAACAGCAACGAAATATTCTTCCTACATTTTGTATAATTTATTATACTGTACAATAAAATTATCCGATCAATAAGCCGATCACCAATTGCCAGTTTTAAATTGGGGCAATAGTCAATTTGGGGCATCTCATTGTCTCAAATTTTAATTTTCCACATTTGTAAATTGGGACAATTGTTAACTTGAGATATCACATCCAAATTTTAAATTGGGGTAATGGTCAACTTGGGATACCACATCTCAATTTTCAATATGCCCTAATTTTAAGTTGAGGCAGCAAAATCGCATTGCCAATTTAACTTGAGCATAACATTTATATCAAGATTTTGATTTTTAATTAGTATAGATTTTGATCCAAGACAAATATGCAAAAAAAACCTCAAAGAAATGAAAAAACGTTGAAAGTGTGAGTGCAAGCTCTTCACAACAATCAAAGCGCCTGCCAGATAAAGAGGCAGATCTTAAAAGAGCCACCACTACCCCAAGGTGGCAAAAAACGCATTTCTAGCATTTTCAGATAAATCTCAGATTTTACAGGAATCGTCATTGAGCTTATATTCAGTTTCTACCAGTCAAAAAGTAAAAATTCAGCTATATTAAAATTCGACCTATATTAGATTAAAATCAAAAGCATTTAGATACTATTAGTAAATGACCTATATTTAGGCTTATATTTGACTTTACTGAATAATAGTTGAATGACAGCCATATGATCTGTATAACAAATAAAAGTAAATTATTAGAATAGTCAAAATTTATCATAGCGAAATATTTAAATTTTATTATTAATTTTCAAATAGAATAATAATTGTTCAAACTTCAACCCAAATGAAATTTCCTATTTAGTGAAACAATTGCTAAGTACTCTCTAGCATTAGACCGATTTGATACTCTATATCTTACAGGTATAATTCAACCTAAAATATTATATATTGGGATTATACAGTCTCTACTGATTGGATAAAAACTATTTTCTCATAACTCGATATTGCAAATTTTAGCGTCATCATTAATGCTAAAGTAAAATCAAGTTGAGGACGAATTAACAGCTTTATACTATTTAATTTAGGCCAATTTATGTATTAACATTTATAAGTTTATATGAATGTTATATTTAAAAAAATATTGAATTTGGCCAGGGTAGATATCAACACTTCTTCTATCATAATTGATAAATTTAGCCAAAATAAAAGAGTTTTTAATATATCATGCAGAAGCAGTACTTCTGAAAATTTTTGCGTTAATTTAACATCTCTCATACTGATTCATCTTATTAACAACTATTGTTGAATTAGATAAATCGTTTGTAAATTATTTCCTAAATGTCGAATTTATATATGTATCTATGTAATATTTGATAAGACAATCATATATTAATTTCTCAAGCTAAACATTTTCAGAATGTAGTGGTAGAAACTCTCCTGAAAAATTTTTGAAATTAGTATTAGGTAATTCTAATGTATTCTTTAAGTTTATTAGAAAATGATACATCTTTTTTATTGAAAATCATCAATATCAGAAAGTGACCTGACGGAAGATTTGATATTGAGTAATCCAAGTCCTTTTACTTCTAAACTAGAACTTATTATATTGTTTATTTTTGTATCAATCATCAATCAGCACATCAATTCAGTTTCAATCTGATATTGACTATTAGGCAATGATCCTAACAAAATAAATAAAACTATTAAACAAAGAAAATAAAAAATTAAATATTAGCATTTAATTCGTCTTATCTAATATACCATTCATTCGTTTAAATTAAAAGTATCAGAACGAGTATAAAGGACTATAATCATAAGCATACTCACATAAATATAGTGAAAGGTAAAGATTTTGTATTATTTTTCCTTTACCGTAATGCCTTTCAATCAGTTTTATTATTTCTATTAATCCACTGTAAGCTTCCATTTCATCGACCTCTACAATTTGTCTAACCAAAATTCTACACACTCTGACAAAGTATGTTAGAATTTTTCAGTCTTTTGGTAGAAGATGATCCCATAACAACACCATGGCATATATTAAGAAAAAGTTTTACCACTGGTCTACTGTAAAATTAAGAAACCCTTCACCTTCATAAATATTACCAAGTACCTATTCTAAATCAGTTGGTACTTGAAAATTGATCATTTTCCTTTGTATTGACTGAAGAGCATTTTAATTTAATATATTTTCATCAATTCATATTCTTTTACTATCTATTTAGTAATGCTTAAGAAAAGATAATGCATTGGTCTATAATAACAAATCTAATCAAGTCAAAATACATTAGATGTAGCAGTTTCAATCATCTAATATTTTTTTTTAATAAATCTAGATCGTTTGGCATTAGTTTGTATCATCTTCAATCTAAAGTATTTTGTCAATGTCTTACTGAATCTTTTACAACAAACCATTTATCCATATTTGATATACTGCCAAAATTATGTTGATTATTAATATAATTCGCCTTCTTTTTACAATGATAACATGATACGAAAGTTGATACACAGCCACATAGTTTTCAAGCTACAGAAATGTCACATAAAACTAAAATCAATACTGTTAGAATATCTTTACCGCTTAGACATTCGTTCGTATGACTAAGAGTTAATTCCTTTCTAAAGTGATTTGAATTCTATAATTATAGGTGAAAGATAGTGGTTTATTTTATGTAGGCTAATCTCATTAGGTCCTGGTAATATGTTAAGTATAATTATATTTTCAGGCTGAAACTAAATATTATAAGGTAAATTACATAATACAGCATATAGAACTCCTGTACTATAGATTGCTCTGTTATAAGGCTGAAACTAGTTCAAATTAATGATTATTGTTAGCTTTCTCTGATTGAAAAAAATAGTTTGAGTCTTTTTCAGATAATTCCTTGAAATTTTGCTATACCTGACCATTATAAACATCTGATAAGATATTATCATATTGTGAACGATTAGTTCAATGTCATAAGAAATTTTCAAATTCTGGTTGAAAACATGTTCAAAAGTTGATGTTGAATACTTGTAATCGGATAGACTAATTCAGGCCTAAATGATATACTATTGTTTAAAGTAATCTATTTCGTTAAAGAAGTTTGACATTATTTGAATTGCTTTGTAATCAAATTAGAAAATTCTACATAGCTATATTTCGTGATCAATTGTTGAATATTAGTCTCATCTTCTTTCTTATATAATTTGTGACATTTTTGATAAGCTGCAATTGATTGATTATACCTAGAGTTTGTCTCGCTATATATAAGGATTTTGAAAATGATTCATATTCAGGACTTTCGTACTCTTTTAATATGATTTTAACAAATTTTATTAATACTTCAGTTGCAGTATCTGGTAATCTAAAATTCGACCTGAACTTCATTATTCATATTAAAATTCACATTGCTCAATCTTGTTTTGGTAACTTTGAAGCATCTGGTATATTGAACATAAAATGGAAATAATCTTTGAAATTATTCAAAAATTCGTTATTATCTTCACTATCTTCTATATCATCTCTATCATCTGTATTATTTTTATTTTCATTTTCAGTTGATGAATTGCTATTAGAATCTTCAGAATTTTTAAATTACCTTTATTATACATAATAATATATTGAAAAGTTGCTGTTCTTTTTTTTTATACATAAAAAGAATGTAAAGTTTGTTCTTCTAATATGTTATCATCAATTATTTTTTCTAGCGTATCATCATCATCAATTATTATTGATTGTTATGTTAGATATTCCTAGTTGACTGGTTTGACTATTAATTATAACATTAGTAATTTATTAATAAGTGAATGCACTAACTGCCCTAATCTTAAAAAAATCAGTTGTTCTTTTATTTATATGCATTTTTCATATGCAGATCAATCAGTTTTCCTTTACATTTGTCACAAAAACATTGAACCTTTGTCCTTGATGTTCTTATTATAATTTTAACATCTTTTATAAAAGGTGGATTTGATTTCAAAAAGCTTGTATGATTTTTATAATATCTGTAATAGATCATTTTTTTGTCATTTTAACAAAACGATGAATGAAATAGTAATAAATAATATTGTAACATACACAATTTTATAAGTTGAATTGTGTAATTATTTTAATTTGAATTTTTAAAATTTTATTAATATTTTTAAGTAACTTGACTAATTATAATCAATATGTCAAATTTAAGTTAAATTTAAGTTAATATCATTAAATCATGATCAATATAAGTTGAATTTACTGAAATCTTTAAATATTATGATTAATGACAAAAAACAATGTAAATATAAGTTGAATTTTCTATATCAAACATTTTTTTCTTACGAACGATAACATTTCTAATATGGAGTTACCAAAAAAAATATTATTATACAAGGTTGAGCAAAATTTCAACTACTTCACAAATTTTACTACCAAAACCTGTTAAATAACCTATACCAGTTCAACAACCTTCACCTATACCAATTCGCCCAGTAACAGCTTAGCCAATAATTGCGTCAGTTTATATAGTAACTGTAGTAACATATTCTCAAGTTCACTTAGCAACTATAGCAACATGTTCTCAAGTTCATTCAACTACAGCAATATGTTCTTAAGTTCGTCTAATTGTATTAGAACATCTTACAGTACTTCAAATAATTACTCCAGTTCGCTCAACCTCAATAACCACTTCAGTTCGCCTAGTAATAGCTTAGCCAATAACTACCTAGTAATTGCAGTAACACCTATAACACTTCAAACAACTACTCCAACACGTCAATCTGAAGAGCTAATCAAGAGATATCTGAATATTAAAATTCTAAGGTCAATTAGTAATAAACATGGTGATAATTAAATCAATTTTGTTGTGATATTTATGAAATTGTATCTATGTTTCTAAGTATAAAAACTAAATAATTCAAATAGATAATCTAGAAATAGAGAATTCAAAAAAGGAAAACATTCATTTGCAAGCTGAAATGCAATAACAACGAAAATAGAAGTCGAGTTAAGAAGAAATATAAAGAATTTAAAAGAAAGGATTCAGTTATTGAAAAAAGAAAACTCTATAATTCAAACTTTTAATGAACAATTTAGAAATGAAAATAACAAGCTAATAGCTGAAAATGACAAATTAAAAACAAAATTGTCACATTTTCGCAAAGTTTAGATTCTTAGAAATAATTCTCATGAGTTGTTAAGGATACCAAGTGTGGACAGACCAATATCACCAGATGAATCTAATGCTACAGCAGCTAGAGTAAGAATTTTTTAATATATAACTAGTTTAATTATTTAAATATATATTACATGTAACTTTTCTGCTATAGGCTGAGATGAAAACCTGATTAAAGGGTAGATACTAGCTAAATATTAACTGAATTATAAGAAAACGTTCTTTGAACAAGTGAGAACTGTATATGAGAATCTGATTCTAGAATTGAAGAGAATGATGAAAGGTGTCTTCAATCTATCAGTCACTCAACTGTCTAATTGGTTTAAAGCTATTCATAAACACTGTAAAGATAGATTAAAGAAAAGATAAGCTAGAATATTAGGAAAAGTTAATAGAAGGTTGCATGCTAATACTCATCTTGCTGAGGTAAATATTTAATTGATTAGATATATATCTATTACATTTATTTTAACACCATTGTTAATAATATTTGTCAGAAAAAAATAAATGAATAAAGACAGCATTTAACTTGTTTAAGATCATGATAAAGGTATTCAAGGATTCAACAAAAACGAAGTCAATATCTATTTTACAATAAAACAATTATCACTTACCTGAATAATCTGATTCAGAAGATGAATATCATATAAGGAACTCTGAAGAAAAGAAATTTTTTCACATCTTGATCATCCATGATGCTCATGAAAGGTAGATATTATTTTATAATATATGTTTATATAATATTTATTTAACTTTGTTTTAATCTTTGCTTTTGATAGTTAAAGACATTACTTTGAGGCATATTAGTTCTGATAGCTGAACAGCAGGTTTATAACAAGAAGCAACGAAAATATATATATAATAATGAGATGTACTTTACCTCAAGTAAATCATCTGAAAATGTACCTGAGTGAGCGAACAATAATAATAAATATTACAAAATGGATGAAACAAATGAAATAAATGAATTTATTAATTATGATTATTTTAATGCAAAAGATAATATGAATGATAAAGACTATTTAATCAACCTATTCTTCGCAGAAGAGATCGAAGATTATGACGAAAGAAGTAAATCATCTACTATGGTATCAGCTAGAATGAACGAAATGCAACTTGATGAAATGAACAAATTTTTCACGATAACACCTAAAGTAAGTAAAATAATTCATTCCATATTTTTATATTTGAGAACTAATATTATATTATATATTACAACTAACATTAGGAAAGAGCTACTACTGATCAAAAAGGCAAAAGAAAGTCTACTAAAATAGAAGATTATTAATATGACAAATAATTTGCTAATTGTATTAAAAATAATCTGAATATAATAAATATATAATATACATATAAATATTACTAAAATTGTTAAATAGCTATATATTGAATGTGTTATACATATATTAATATATACTATGTATAAATAATATTTTTGAATTTAATTCAAATAAGTTACTAATACTGGTTAAATTTATTACTAATACTAGTTGAATAATCTGTCTGAATATACGACTATTGGCTATTTAATTATGTCAGAACTATAAACTTTAATTTGATGCATATTAGAATGCTATTAGACCCATATTTAACTTAACTGAATTTATGTCTAATTATCATATTTTGACTGGTATTCAGTTTTATTTATTGCTTAAGCAATCTTACTTCTTTTGCAAATAAATTTTTAAAATGAGATATTGAAACACTAAGGGTGAATTTCTTACCAACTCAAGTCTTGAGCCTAATTTTGAATGTATGAAATATGTTGTATTAACAGTCATATTATTTATTTGAATAACTGGCTATTTAAGGTTATGTAAATATTTAGAAAAGTCATTTTGATTTATAATGCATTCCAATAATTTTCCTAAAGTTTGCAATCTGTTAAACCAGAATTCATCTACCCTGTAGTTTATTATTGAAGACAAACTTTATGTATCGGCAGATTCTGAATTTGTTATAAATAAACAAAACATTATTATTATGATTATAGAGGTCAATATATTTTTGATTCTTTGACAAATCTATACATATTTTTGTTGATATAAATAACCTTTGTTAACAGGATAAGCATAGAAAAATGTGAGTTCAATCTCTGATTACGGGAAACACAAATTGCTGTAGAAGTATTTTGCTGTGAAAATAAAAATATCTGTAATACTGGTGAAGTTACGGATTAAACTATTTTTATTATTCACGTTATTATTACATATATCACAATTTATAAGGCTATGATTTCATCATCATATTGAAATGAGATTTATTGTGATCTATCACAAAGTTAATCAGTTGATATTCAACAATGGTCTAGAAGAATAATCAGAATTCTGGTTATAATCTTGCAAAACTGAGTAAGAAGGAAAAGGTGCTAATGGCATTGGCTCAAATTCATCAATTTCTTTTATAAAATTTGAAAAATTAGTTAAGAGTTGTTTGCGTTTAGGGACTTTAAGACATTGGTTCCATTTCAAAAGGTTCTTTTATCGACTTATACTCAATAAAATTCATTTATATGCAATAATACAATAATTATATCAGCTTTAACATGATATATAATATAATATATAAATGGAATTTTAGTATAAACTAATGATTTACCTTAATAAAAAAATTTTTTTTATTTGTCATTTTGTTCTAAACATAAGAAAATTTATTATTTCAATCTGTTTAAGGCAGTGATATTTATTACATAATATCAATTTAATATAAAGCTTGACCCTTTCACCCCTACGTAAGATAACTAAGGCAAGTCACATAATAATAATCATTAGACTTTTTATTTATAATAATATAATAGGTAAAAAAATCTGCATTCTGAAATCAAGCTATTTAATAGAGGCTTTTTTTCTGTTTTGATATGAAAAAAGTGGCAGAACTTTGCTGTTTTAATATAAATTAACTGCAGGAGTAAGCTATTTAACAGAGGCTTTTTTTCTATTTTGATATAAAAAGAGTAACAGAACTTTGCTATTTTAATATAAATTAACTGCAGGAGGTTTGCATTTTGATACGAAAGCCTTTTTAATAAATTTAGCTATGAGAATTTTTCTGTTTTAGTATAAATTAAATTGTGGAATTTTGATATGAAAAGAATGGTGTACCCTTTTTAATAAATTTAGCTGCAGTGGCTTTTCTGTTTTAATATAAATTAACTGTGAGAAAGTTTGTATTTTAATATAATTAGCTATAAAAGTTTTATAAAAGAGAATTTAATGTATTGATATTTCACGCTTTTATAATAAAAAAATAAGTTTTGTACTCAAAAAAATGCGTTGACTTTTATTTTGAAAAATGAGTTATTAAACCTACTTTATTGGCCCTAAATTTAATAAAAAATCAATTTACAATTCGTCAGATAATAAGTACCAGGAATTTACTAATGCTTATGTATATAGTACTATGGTAAAAATAGAAAATAGTATTCCAAATCATGCTATTGTTTATTGTGAAGCAGTAACAGAATGGAAAAGCATTAAAAGCAAAGTGCTACAGAAATTGATAATATAATTAGAGAATACATCACTACTCCAATTCACCCATATAACATACTAACAATAAGAGCAAATCATTCTAAACCTATATTAGAAATAGTTTCTCCCCTTTCTATTATTAGTCTAGTTGAACCTATACTAGAAATTTCTAAGAATGCAACAACTCAAAGAAAGATAGCGGAAGAGATTAAAATAACCGAAGAAAAACTTGCTGAATTAAAACAAATTTACAAACATCATAACTGACACTCAGATTCAGCATAATATATATATAAAATAGAAAAGGCTGAATATAAAATTAGTTCTAATAAGGATAAATTAATAAACTAAAAAGAAACGTGAAATATGCTTAAAATTGTAAAGCAAAAAAATTTAAAATACTTATCAAAAATCAAAAGGTAGTTCAGTATGATAAGTTTGGTTATCTACCATTACTTTTTGAACATCTAGATCTACATAATTAAATTCATGACTCAGTTGAGTTTGGATCAACCGATTCAAAAAGGTGAAAAGAGGTGGTTAAGGTATGCATTGTTCGTAAGAATTTGGAGAAGAGATATAATATTTATATAACATAAATAATATTAAAGAATTATCTCTTACCTTGCCAATCCAATTCGATTGCTACTAAGACTCATCATCATCTGGCATAGGTTACTGTATCTGAAGTTTTATGTACAGATACTTGAAAGCATTCTGATAGGCATTATTGTCTTGCATCTGTCAAATATGCAAAACAATTTGCTTTTATGTTTGCTGATATGTCCATTATTATTTTTCAAGATAACAAAGTAAAGTAGGTCTTAGAATACCTGCAGTAGATCGAATATTTCAAACCTTACAGTCAATTAATGAACCTGTATCCGTAGCTGATTACAATTTTCCTATTAGGTGTAGGCAGAAACTAATTCCTTCAGTATATCTAATTATTAAACTAAATGAATTAAAAGATGAACTTTGAACAGGACAACTCGCAATTTTTACACGTTCCCAATGTTCTATTGGTATTCTCGCTAATATATATGCAGGATTTAGAAAGTCTTATTTTAAATTCCCAATATGATGATGCATTGAAGACCAATAGACAAATTTGATCTATTTGGATATTATTAGTAGATAGAGGGCCAGACGAAAATCCCAGACATTTGAAAAACATAATGGTATACTGTCAACTTTTTAAAAAGTTTAACTTGGATTACCTGAGTGTACAAACATATACACTAGGATAATCTAAATACAACTCTATCAAAAGAGGTATAGTAATACTATCCGACAAACTTGCTGACATCATATTACCAATTAATTACTTTAGCAAACATTTGGATTTGCAAGAAAATGCCACGAATTCTGAGCTGACTACTCAAAATTTTTGATATGCTGGAGAGACTCTTTGCAATATTTGGAGTTGCAATTCAATTTTTAGAAAACACGTTAATGCTCAGTATATTGACACATTTACAAATCCATTTAAAAATTTAGAATTTAAGGATATAGAAAAAGAAAAGGCCGAAGAATTAAAAAGACAAGAAAAACAAAACCAAAAAAATGCAAAAAAGAAGAATGAAGAGCTTACCTTTTCCAAATGCTTTAATCCATAATCTTGAATTGAAAAATACTGCAATTTATGCATATATTCCATTGATATCAGAAAATGTAAAGATACAAGTTATTGTGGACTACCAAGAGCTAAAGAAGCAATAGAATTTCTTGAAAGCTACAATGGTTTCTTACCACCTGATACAAAAGCTAATGATTGATACTTTACAAATCCTATTCATTTACTCTAATATTATAATTGTCTAAAAATCCTAGGTTACGATGCTTACTGTCCATCTCTTGAAAAAAACACATACTCCCATCTTTGTTATTCTACATGTCAGAAGTACTTTTCTACCCTTACTTTCCTAAAGAATTATAAGAAAACAGCACACCCTGCAACTCAAGAACAATCTAAAGACCAATCTAAGAATCAAAATGAGCTGCTTGATAATTTTTCTTTTATACCTTTATAACGATCAAATATCGTTCCATTTGAATTAAGAAAATATGTATCAGATAGAGAGTAAGTACGTGTTGAATTGCAGTATTAATAAATATTTTTTGCTTATTATCGTAAGCCAAATGATCACGTAATATATATATCTAAGTGTAATATAAGACATCTCTTAAAAGCCCTTACCACCCTCTACCCCTAAAAATATTACATAATATATGTTAGCGTTTTTATTGAATTTGTTATAATTTGAAATATTTATGCTAGGTGTATCTTATGTGACTGCAAAAATTACAAAATTAACTCTACAAGGTGTAGTTAAATATTCATTATTGCATTCAAAAATTGGTAAAGTTCTTTATCCCTTTCTTTTCTTACTTAGATTTAAAAAAAATATATTGATCTATTTTATAATATTAGAAAATGTTACAGGAGAAACTGGATCCCTAATTCTATATATAAAATATTGATTGCTAATTTTTGAATAAAGAAATAGAATAATGTTTTATAAAAAAATATTCCTTTTCTTCATACTGCTCAGAAAAAAAATAAATAGGATATCTTATTTCTGGCTTCGAATTTATGAGAAGGTAGTAAAGTCATTTGAAATACTATATGCAATTGACATTTAGAAAAATTCACTCTGTGATAAATAAAAATCATGTGACTTTGAAAAAAAATTCATTGCAATTTTTTTAAGAAAATTTCCTCTGTTTTATATCTACTGCAAAAAAACACAGTAAAAACTAAAATAAAATAAAAAAATATACTTTATTTATTTTTATTTAATTTAATTTATACACA